TGAGTATCAACTCATTCTGAGGGGCTTAAAGCCATCCGTAGTGCAGTCAGATGTGTTTGTTGGGGCTTTGAATTTGAACCCGGGGCCGGGAGGGGAGCCGGCAGACAGTGCAGCCAGGGAGGGCTTCCTGCAGAAGGCACTGACAGGTGGGAGGACTTGGCTGGGTCACAGTGAAGAGTGAGGACCTCCCAGGAGTGGGGTAAGATGGACAGTGGACATACGAAGCCTTGGATAATTGTGATGAGAACCAGGGACCGTAGGGAAGGGCAGGTCCTGGGTCTGGCTGTCCATGTCCAGGCAGCAGTTGCTGAGGTGTGGGCTACAGATAACACGGGAGTATAGTGGGAGACCAGAGTCCTGAGAACCATGGCCACATGAGGATGGCATGTCCCTACTGTGGGGAACAGGGCCTGTCCACTCTTTGTCCATTCTGCTTCTGCTGTGGGAAGGGCACAGGTAGCTGTTTGGGGTGGGGTGGGGAATTGTTCTCTGGGCTGTAGGACCCAGGCCTTCCTGGTGGGACTGAGGACCTGGCTGCTCCACAGAAACTGGTCTGTGAGGGCCAGTACGGGCCTGGGATGGCAGAGTTGGAACAGCAGGTGGCCGAGCATAACATCTTGCAGAGAGAGATCGAGGCATACGGACAGCAGCTACGGACCCTGGTGGGACCGGTGAGTGAGTCCCAATCCTGTCCAGCCTGGTGCAGGTCTCCCTTTCTTCCATCACAGCCGGGCTAGATCTGCCGGCCTTCAAGGGAGAGATGCTGATGGGGAGTGGCCCGTATGTAGGGGGCCGCCCCACTACACCCTGCTTCTCACTGGCCCCGTTTCTCCCCTTGGTTGAGACAGGATGCGACCACCATCAGGAACCAATACCGTGACCTACTGGTGAGCTAGGAGATGGGCTGGGCCTGGGTGCTGAGGTTGGTGGGAGCTCTCTGCCTGGACCCTTCTGGGGTCACTGTTGCTGATGGCACTGATGCTGCCTCTTGCCTTGTGCTTCCCTCCTGAGCACAGAAGGCGGCCTCCTGGCGCCGACAGAGCCTGGGCAGCTTGTACACACACCTGCAGGGCTGCACTCGGCAGCTGAGTGCCCTGGCGGAGCAGCAAGGCCGCATCCTGCAGCAGGATTGGAGTGACCTCATGCCTGACCCCACTGGTGTGAGGCGAGAGTATGAGGTCTGTGGGGACAGGCCCAGATGGTGGGGGTGTCTCGGGCTGTCTCATTGCTAATGCTGTCCTCACTTCACTCGTCCCTAGCACTTTAAGCAGCATGAACTGCTGGCCCAGGAGCAGAATATTAACCAGCTGGAGGATGACGCAGATCGCATGGTGGAACTTGGGCATCCAGCCGTTGGGCCCATCCAGGTGTGGAGGCCCCACCCATGCCCCCAACCCTGAGCTCCCCAAACAGGAGGGGGGGCTGGTAGGTGTGGCAGGATTCCCGCGCTCACCCCGCTGCGCTCCAGGTCCACCAGGAGGCCCTCAAAATGGAGTGGCAGAATTTCCTGAACCTTTGCATCTGCCAGGAGAGCCAGCTCCAGCATGTGGAGGACTACCGCAAGGTGAGCCTGGGGCTAGGGAGCCAGGGTGGTGGCTGCAGGAGAGGGGGCTTGAGGGCAGCACAGGACACAGGGGCCACCCAAAAGACAGTGTACCTAGGTCACCGTGGGGGAACAATACCAAGACTACGTTCTTCAACAGAGTGGTTTCACCCCAGTGAGCTTATTTTCTTTCTTTTTTTAAAAAAATAATTTACTTAACCTTTATTTTATGTGCGTTGGGGTAAAGTTATCAGATCCTGGAACTCTAGTTACTCTAGTAACAGACAGTTGTGAGCTGCCATGTGGGTGCTGGGAATTGAACCTGGGTCCTCTGGAAGAACAGTCAGTGCTCTTAACCGCTACACAACGAGTTCTAGGACAGCTAAGGCTACACAATGAAACCTGGCTCAAAAAGACAAACAAAAATTAATAAGAAAAATAGGGGGCTGGAGAGATGGCTCAGGGGTTAAGAGCACTGACTGTTGTTTTTCCAGAGGTTCTGAGTTCAAGTCCCAGCAACCACATGGTGGCTCACAACCATCTGTAATGTGATCTGGTGCCCTCTTCTGGCACGCACTGTATACATGATAAATAAATAAAAATAAAAGACAGCAAGGTGAATTCATCACTTTAAAAAATTAATAAAAAATAATAAAATAACAGCTGGGGTCTAGTGTGGTGGCTGTGGCTGTGGCTGAAAGGGTACTCCTGTATCCTAGCACTTGGGGAGCAGAAAGCAAGAGATTGACAAGCTGGAGGCTAGCCTGTGCTACTTATTGAGACCCTATCTCAAAATTAAAAAAAAAAAAAAAGAGGCCGATGAGGAAGAGGAGGAAGATAAATAGCTAGGGCTGCAGTTGGGTGTAGAAGACTGAGCTGGATGCCCCAGACCCCTGAGTACAGCAGGCAGCAGATTACCTCACTATACAACACAGATATTAGCAACACACCAAAATGCCCCGTTTGTGGACACTCCCTTTTAAAAATGTCCCAGTGCCTGGGTGGATGGAGCTGGTCTTTGTTTAACTGGTTGAGATTTAACCTGTTTTTGGTTTTTAAGCTGTTTTGTGTGTAGCTGTTTGAGTGTAGCTGGCCCGGAGTTTAGCCTGACTTGAATTTTATCCCAGTATGAGTTTAGCCTGACCAGTGTTCCAGCCACTTTGCAGGGTCAATGGGTATCAGGTTGCCCCGGCTCTACCCTTGACTACCCGGTCACCTTAGTTTCAGGAAGAGGCAGACTCTGTCAGCCAGACCCTGGCGAAGCTCAACTCCAACCTGAACACCAAGTATGGCCTCATCGCTGGGGCCTCCTCTGGCTCCGCCACAGAGCTCCTGCTGCAGCTGGAGGTGAGACGCCCCCGCCCAGCGCCACGGGAACATCTGCACCCTGCTTCTGGGCATGGAGCTGTCTCCAGAAAAGTGGTTCCCAGTTCAGTCCCAAGGCCCCCAGGAGAAGGGCTGCCCCAGCAGAAGCCCTGACCCTTCTACCCTTAAGTATCCCATCTGTAATGTGACCAGAGATGCCTGGGAGAGCTCTGAGGACCCTGCAGCTTTCACTCTGGAGACCTGTGTGGTACTAGCTGGCATCCTTACCCTCCATCCATCCGTAGCCACTCTGATTTAGACTTCTTCCCTGATGAAGGCCATACCCCTCATGAGAGATGGAAAGGGGGCAGGTGGCTTCCATTGCAGCCTGGTCTGAGCTCCTGCTGCCTGGGTCCCTAACAGGCAGAGGAGAAGCAGCTGGCCATGACGGAGAGGGCCGTGGGGGAGCTGCAACAGCAAAGCCGGAAGGTGGCCCCGCTGCCACAGCGTAGGAACCCACCCAAGCAGGCCCTGCAGGTGGACAGCATCTGTGACTGGGACTCAGGAGAAGTACAAGTGTGCCCAACCTTCCTTCCCTGCCCTCCCCAGTCTCTGCACCCCCACACCGTGGACATGTCACTCTGCACCCCTGCCGCCTCCCTCTCCCTCGCTCCCTCTCTGACCCAGCCCCACCCTCACCAATCTGTCCCACCTCTGATCTGTCCTTGTCCTTACCTCAGCCTCTCCCACCTCTAATCTAACTCCAGTCCCAGCTGCTGTCCCCACCCACGCCTGTCCCCAGCACAGACCCCTCTTGACACTAGTCACCTCGCCAGCTCCTGTCGTTGATCCCACACGAGCCCCTCTCCATCTGCCCCAGGTGCAGCTGCTTCGGGGAGAGCAGTACACACTCAAGGACAATGCTGACCCATATACGTGGGTGGTTCAGGGCCCTGGAGGAGAGACCAAGAGCGCCCCCGCTGCCTGCCTCTGTATCCCTGCACCAGACCCTGAAGCTGGCGCCACGGCCTCCAGGTGGCTCACCCCAAGATGCCCATAGGCACCAAAGCCAATGCTTTCCTCTGAGGTGTTGGGTGCTCGGGCTGGAATCGGGGAGAGACATGCTTCTCTCATCTCCTCATTCCAGACTGGGTGCAGAGCTGCAGACCCTGAAGCAGAAACTGTCTACAGTGAAGAGCCGCCTTAAGACCACTGTGGTCGAGCCCTTACAGCCAGGCCAGCAGGGTACCAGAGGATGGCCTAAGGAGGGGGCTGATGGGAGGGCCACCGTGGGTGGGTAGGCCGTACTCCATCCCTGGGACTATCCCTCCCTCGGTTAGGCCCAGCCCATCCTCCAGGTCCTCCACACCCTGTGGACACTCAGGGAGAACCCATTTCAGGGAGACATAGGTAGACCTGGATGCCTACTGGCGCTTCTGCCCCCAGCTCCAGCAGGCTCAGCCCCAGCTGACCCCCAGGCTCAGAAACTCCTGACACGGATGACCCAGCTGGATGGGGATCTGGGGACAATAGAGAGGCAGGTGCTGACCTGGGCTCGGACCCCGCTGAACCGATCTAGTCCACTGGCAGACCTGGAAGACCGCATCCACAGCCATGAGGTGAGCAGATGGAGCGCCTGCGACAAGAAAGGGCCCCACTCTGGGGCCACAGACTCAGGAAACAGGGTTTCCACACACCCTGGCTCCTCTACGGCATGCTCTGTCACCGTGGACATGTCACTTTTCTGAGCTCCAGTTTTCTCACATCTGGGGCGGTCCCCAGATCCTTCGGGCATCCTTCGGGTGAAAGTGTGACCATGCCTGGCCAGAGTAGAGGCCCCACACACGGAAGATTTTCTAGTGAGAGTTGTGGCATAGCAAGGAAGCCTGGGATGTTCCGGGGGGGGGGGGGATTTCTCAGCACTACAGGGAAAGCCTACCTGGAGGGATGGGAGGGCTGTCAGTGTCAGTCAGTGATGACCCTGTTCTCTGACACGTGAACCCAGCAGCCTGGAAGTGCCCTGGGTAGAAGTCCAAGCATTCTAGTCAGCCTTCCAAACCGGTTTCTGTTCAAACACAGCATACCATTACTGTTGGTTTTTCAAAAATGTGAACCATGTTCATTTACATTGTTGTATAACCTGTTCTGGTCTGTCTGCTGCACAGAGCACAGAGAGGGAGGTGGCAGCTCAGCCCTGCTGGGAGGAGGAGAGAGGCTTCCCCAGGGCAGGGGATATGAAGCCAGGTGCCACATGTGGGCCCTCTGGCTTGGGGTGGGGTGGGGGTCTCGGTGCTCATTGAGGGTCTCACATATGGGATGTTTGTAGAGGGAAGGGTATGGATACAGGATATCTGAGGCTGATAGTTGACCCTGCTACACCAAAATAGGTCTGTGGGGTTTTGTTTGTTTGCTTGTTTTGAGACAGGGTCTCCCTTTGTGTCCCAAACTGGCCTCAGCCTCCTGAGTGCCGGGATTACGGCCATAAGCCACCACGTCCAGTGGCCCTTTGTTTTGATGCTAATTGCCATATCAGAGGTGTTGGCAAGACCTCTAAGCACCCAGTTCAAAGGTCTGCCTTGTGGAATAGATGAATTAATGGTGATGAGAAGTCAGAAGGCAGCAGCCCCAAGTGAGCTGAGCCAGGGCTCTGCCTGCCCAGCTTGAAGCTACAGCAAGCTAGAGGGCCTGACGGTGAGCGGTGAGCCACAGGCCACGTGTTCTTGTTGCTAAGCGTCTAATATATAGGATCTCATGCCATCGCCCAATCCGCCAGTCTGCAGGTGAAGACATGGGAGGGGGTAAGAAAGGGTGTCCAGCCCTAGGCTACTTGGGGACTAGAACAGACAGGCTGGCCTCCAACTGCACAGTGCCTTCATGTGCTTACGGTCAGGTGAGCCAGGGATCTCCAACTGTGTTCTCTGCCTGCTCCTCCCGTGACCCAGGGCACAGCACAGCACCTTCAGAGCCTGGGAGCTGAGAAGGAGGCAGCCCAGCAGGAGTGCGAGGCGTTTCTGTCTACGAAGCCTGTGGGCCCAGCGGCCCTGCAGCTGCCTGTGGTCCTTAACAATGTCAAGAATAAGTACAATGATGTGCGGAGTCTGTGCTGCCTCTATGGGGAGAAGTGAGTGCTTGAGTGGGGGCCATCTGGAGGGCCCTGGAGTGTATGGCTGAGGTACCTGACTGTCGCTTCCTCACTGCAGAGCCAAAGCTGCCCTGGGCCTGGAGCAGCAGATCCAGGAGGCAGACGTGGTCATCCGAGGCTTCGAGACTACCCTGGCACAGGAGGGCCCCATCCCTGAAGGCTCTGGGGCCCTGCAGGAGAGGGTCAGTGAGCTGCAGGTAGGCTCAGCGGCAGCTTCCTGGTGGAACGGGCAGGTAAGGAGTGGTCTGGCTATCCCAAGGAGCCTGGAGCATTCTCCCTTCTGTCCTTCTCCACAGCACCAGCGGAAAGAGCTCCTCCAGCAACAGGCCTGTGTGCTGGGGCTGCACCGCCAGCTGAAGGCGGCTGAGCATGCGTGCGGTGCACTGCAGAACAACTTCCAAGAGTTCTGCCAAGACCTGCCGCGCCAGCAGCGCCAGGTGCGCGTCCTCACAGACCGCTACCACGCCGTGGGGGACCAGCTGGATCTGAGGTGAGTGGAATGGGGGGTGCACGGGCACTGCTGCTGAGCTTGTGAAAAGGTGGTTTCCTTGCCTCTAAAATGGGTGGTAACCGTGCTGTCTTCTCGCCCTTACCTGTGCCAGGCAGGCACAGTTCACTGTGTCTCTGGGAGAGGACCTACATGGCCTGTCGCTCAGGCCTCCTGCTCTGTCTCAGGAAGGAGGCACAGACTTCTCTGTGTACCCCCCAAGCTATGCACCCCCCCATCCTTCCGGGGAGGTTAACTCTCACTCCTGTATGGGACCTTGTCCTATGGCAGAGAGAAGACCCTACAAGATGCCAGGCTCACCTACCAGCAGTTCATAAATGTCAGGGATAACCTGAATTCCTGGCTGGAGCAGCTGCCCCACAACCAGATGCTGCCCGGAGATGGGCCCAGCCAGATTGCCTACAAGTTACAGGCACAGAAGGTGAGGGCCAGGGCTACAGGGTGGCCTGAGACAGGGCCTGGCCTAGAGCTGGGGCCTCTGGCTACCTGTTCTTTCCAGCCACCTTCCCAGAAGGGACGGGTGCTTGTATTCATGAGGCTGAGCCTCAAAAGCAAGAGGCCTCACAGTTGAGACCGGGGGAGGGGGGGGTTGCCCCTTCCCCTCCACAGGTTGCTCAACAGCACTTTCCACTGGTGGGATCCAGTCACTGTTGTATGCTCTTCCTGATCCTGGTTAAGGCTGTAGGTGATGAGCCGGGAGTGGAGGGTACAGACCCCACTCCCTCAGGCAGTCTGTCCGTCCCAGGCCTGAGCTGATAAATGTATTCAGAGTCAAGATGCCACCTTGGTGTGGGCGCTCCTTGGTGGACACTTGTGGGACTGAGGGCAAGTGACCTGAGGAAAAAGCCTACTCAGGGGACTCTGGTGCAGAGAGCTCTGTGGGGCTGTGAGGCTCAGGGGACTCTGGTGCAGGGAGCTCTGTGGGGCTGTGAGGCTCAGGGACAGGCCACCTAGGCTCTTCTAAGTACAGGAGGGAATCTGGACTTGATGTTACAGCACTGGCAGCCCTGGGGGAAGAGGGTCACCTCAGGTTGTTTGAAAGTGGTCTAAGGCTCCAAATGGACAATGGATAAAAGGGTGTGGATAGAGACAGGGGGCTTCTGAGGAGCCAGGGTAGAAGTTCAGGGGGAATAGGGGGCCCCAGTACCCATCTCCAAAAATTGAAGTTGGAATTCTTTTTTTTGGGGGGGGTTGTTTTCAAGACAGTGTTTCTCCATGGCTTTGGAGGCTGTCCTGGAACTAGCTCTTGTAGGCCAGGCTGGTCTCGAACTCACAGAGATCCACCTTTCTCTGCCTCCCAAGTGCTGGGACTAAAGGTGTGTGCCACCAACGCCCGGTGAAGTTGGAATTCTTATAGCATTGGAATTTTTGTCTTGTTTTTGTAAATTTTTTTGGTTGGTTTTGGTTTTGTTTCAAGACAGGATTTCTCTGTGTAGCCCTGGCTGTCCTGGAACTCATTCTGTAGACCAGGCTGGTCTTGAACACAGAGATCCACCTGCCTGTAGTTCCCAAATACTGAGATTAAAGGTGTGCATCACCACTGCCTGGCAGTTTTTTGTTTGGTTGGTTTTTGTTTTGAAGAGTCTAGATGAATCAAAGAATGTACCCAGGGTTCAGAATGCGGGGTAAGCAGTGGCTTCTAGAGCCTGGTCCCTGACCGGTATCATTGGCATCACCTGGTGCCATCACTATCACCTGATAAAGTAGGCAGAGTTTCTGTTGCACCTGGTCCTGCTGCCCTTCAGCCCCAAATAAACACACAGAGACTTATAATAATTATAAACTGTTTTGGCCAATGGCTCAGGCTTCTTATTGGCTAGCTCTCTCTTAATTATTAACCCATAACTATTAATCTATGTATTTCTACATGGCCTTATCTTACCAAAGAACGCCGGTACATCCTATCTTCCCTGTAGCTACATGGCATCTCCCTCGTACCATCGTCATCACCTGGTACCAGCTTGTTCAGAATGCTCTTCAGGTGGTGCCCAGGGCTGCAGAGTCTTTCGCTGGGCAGCTGGGGCAGCAAATCTTTGGCCTAATGACACTAAAACTACAATGCAAGAGCCACTGGGCCAAGACAGGATTCCTAGGGCCGCAGACAAGAAGGTCCGAGAGAATGGCGTCACAGAAACCAGGCACCCCTGGGTCCCCTTTGCCTCTGTGTGTGCTGGATGCTTGTAACTCTTGTTTCCTCCCTGGCAGAGGCTGATGCAAGAAATCCTGGGACATGAGCAGGACCGGGCCACAGTGTCCTGCCTCACGCAGGACCTGCAGGAAGCTCTCCAGGTAAGCACTGTTCCTTTAGCTTCTCCGTCTTATCTCACCAGCCTCACTCCCTCTTCTAGACTCCAATCCTCCAAGGCAGGTCTCTGGAAGTGACTTTTCTCCCTGCTCAGGACTATGAGCTACAAGCAGATACCTACCGCTGCTCCTTGGAGCCCACCCTGGCAGTGTCTTCTCCTAAGAGAGTCCGAGTGATTTCCCTTCAGGACAGTGTCCAGGCTCAGGTGAGGAGGGTCCCAGCAGGGCTTAGCATCCCCTGGCACCAGCTCTTCAGTTCCTCAGGCCAGAGCTGACTCTAATGTTCTTCTCCCCACTTTGCCACCTCCAGGAGAAGAACCTCACCAAGGCTTACACGGAGACGACTGCAGCCCAGCAGCAGCAGCTGTACCAGCTGGAGTTTGCTAAAAAGATGCAGGAGAAGGTAACAGAGACAGTGCCCACCCTCTGCCCACACCCCACCTGGCCTGGTGTTGGCCTGAATGTCATCCTTTCTCTCGCGCAGCCTCCAACCCCTGGAGGGCTTGGGCATGAAGATCTCTCCAGAAGTTCATACAGGCCTGTGCCTATTCTGAGCGGGCCATGGAGATGCCCTCTAGTATTGTTTAGCCATAGTCAGTCCTCTGATGGGGATGTGTCCCCTAGCCCCAGAGAACCAAGAAACACTCCACAGTCATCAGTGTAGTGCCCAGGCACACTGGCGACAGGCCACCTGGGTCTCAGTAGCTGGTAGAGCAGAAGCCAAGAGCTCTCTGTGGTTCCAGTGGTGTGCCAGCTTTGCTCTTCCAGAGCCATATAAAGCATCTACTGGAAAAGGTTGGGCGGGCCTGACTGTGGGGGAGACCTAGGAGGGCCCTGTGTATACTATCTACTGCAAATGGCCTGGACCCTGCCTGGTACCCAAGTAGCATCTAACTGAGCTCCTCAAAATCCTGTGTCCAAGCATCCCCCATCTTCAGCTCCATGACCGGGATCTACAGTCTCAGAAAGCAGGGAGGGGGGTCTCTGACCTTGGGGTGGGAAACGGAAGAAACGGGGCTGCAATCTTTTCTCTGCTCGCCCCGGGACTCACTCTCTTTCCCCTCTCCCTGCAGGAGCTTAGTGAGGACATCCGAATGACACACAGAGCGGCACAGGGATCCGGGAGCCCAGCCCAAGCAGGGGCAGAGTCAGAGGCCTTGAAGTCCCAACTAGCGGAAGAGAGGAAGCGGGTGGCTGAGGTGCAGCGGGAGCTGGAAGCGCAGAGGCAGCAGCTGCTCCAGCTGAGGACCCAGCAGCCCGTGGCGAGGCTGGAGGAGAGAGAGGTGGTGCAGGTCTACCGGGACCCCCAGCTGGAGAGAGAGGTGGCTAAAATGTCGTCCCGGATGGCGGAGGAGGGCAAGAGGCGGGCCCACCTGCAGGCCGAGCTGGAGGTGGTGGCCCAAAAGGTCGTCCACTTGGAGGGCAAGAGGAGGACCACGCAGCCGCACCTGCTGACCAAAGAGGTCACCCAAATCGAGAGGGACCCTGGCCTAGACAGCCAGGCCACCCAGCTGCAGGACGAGATGCAACGGCTGCGTGGGGAGAATGCGGTCCTCGCGGCCCGGCTGGAAGAACTGAAGGACGAGCTGCTGGCCTTGGAGCGGAGGGAGGTGAAGGTGAAGGAGAAGGTGGTGGTGAAGGAGGTGGTTAAAGTCCAGAAGGACCTGCAGATGGTCAAGGCGGTCCAGACGCTGCAGCTGCAGATTGGGGAAGACGCTGCACGGAGGAAGGGGGCGACGGAGGCGGTTGCTAAGATACAGGCCCGGATCAAAGACCTGGAGCAGGCGATCAGCTCGGCGGAGCCCAAGGTCATCGTGAAGGAGGTAAAGAGGGTGGAGCAGGACCCTGGCCTTCTCAAGGAAGCCTCCAGGCTGAGAAGCCTCCTGGAGGAGGAGAAGAACAAGAATGTCGTGTTGGCCAGGGAACTGCAGGACCTGCGGGACAAATACAGTGTGGTGGAGAAGCAGAAGCCCAAGGTACAGCTGCAGGAGCGCGTCAATGAGGTCTTCCAGGTGCACCCCGAGACAGAGCGGGAGATCGCCCGGCTCCAGGCTCAGCTGCAGGAGACAGGCGACAAGAGGAGCAGCGTGGAAAAGGAGGTGGAGAGGCTGCTGCCTGAGCTGGAGGTCCTGCGGGCTCAAAAGCCAGTGGTGGAATACAAGGAGGTAACTCAGGAGGTGGTGAGGCACGAGAAGAGCCCGGAAGTGCTCCGTGAGATCGACCGCCTCAAGGCTCAGCTCAACGAGCTGGTCAACACCAATGGGCGCTGCCAGGAGCAGCTCATCCGGCTGCAGGGAGAACGTGATGAGTGGAAGCGGGAACGGTCCAAGGTGGAGACCAAGATGGTGAGCAAGGAAGTCGTGCGGCACGAGAAAGACCCGGTGCTGGAGAAAGAGGCCGAGAGGCTCCGGCAGGAGGTGCGGGAGGCGGTCCAGAAGAGGCGGGCGGCCGAGGGCGTGCTCTATGAGCTGCAGAGCAAGTACCTGTTGCTGGAGAGGAGGCGGCCGGAGGAGCAGATCGTGGTGCAGGAGGTGGTGGTCACCCAGAAGGACCCGAAGCTGCATGAGGAGCACAGCCGGCTGAGCCAGAGCTTAGATGAGGAAGTGGGGCGGCGGCGGCAGCTGGAGCTGGAGGTGAGGCAGCTGAGTGCCAGTGTGGAGGAGAAGGAGGCCCTGCTCAGCTTTGAGGAGGACCGCAGCAAGAAGCTGGCTGCCGAGAAGGAGCTGCGGCAGCTGACCCTGAAGATCCAGGAGCTGGAGAAGCGGCCTCCTGCCCTGCAGGAGAAGATCATCCTGGAGGAAGTGGTCAAGTTAGAGAAAGATCCAGATCTGGAGAGGTCTACAGAAGCCCTGAGGCGGGAGCTGGACCAGGAAAAGAGCCAGGTGATGGAGCTGCACCGCAAGTGCAAGGGCCTGCACGTGCAGGTTGACCTCCTCCAGACAACGAAATCCCAGGAGAAGACCATCTACAAGGAAGTCATCAGGGTGGAGAAGGACCCGATGCTGGAGGGGGAGAAGGCCCGAGTGTGGGAGACCCTCAGTCAGGAGCGCACAGCCCGCCAGGCCCGGGAGGAGGAGGTCCGGAGCTTGCGGGATCGCATTGACCGGGCTGAGGCTCTGAGGAGGTCCTGGTCGCGTGAGGAGGCCGAACTCCAGAAGGCCCGGGACCAGGCGAGCCAGGACTGTGGGCGGCTGCAGCACGAGCTGCGAGAGCTGGAGCTGCAGAAGCAGCAGAAGGCCCAGCAGCTGCAGGAGGAGGGGCGGCTACTGAGCCAGAAGACGGAGAGCGAGCGCCAGAAGGCGGCCCAGCATGGCCAGGCCCTCTCGCAGCTCGAGGCAGCCATTCTCCATGAAAAGGACAAGATCTACGAGAAGGAGAGGACCCTCAGGGACCTGCACACCAAGGTGAGCCGGGAGGAGCTCAGCCAGGAAACCCAGACCCGGGAGACCAACCTGTCCACCAAGATCTGCATCTTGGAACCGGAGACCGGGAATGACATGTCTCCCTACGAGGCCTACAAGAGGGGTATTATCGACAGAGGCCAGTACCTCCAGCTGCAGGAGCTTGAGTGCGACTGGGAAGAAGTGACCACCTCCAGCCCCTGTGGGGAGGAGTCTGTGCTCCTGGACCGCAAGAGCGGGAAGCAATACTCCATTGAGGCGGCTCTCCGCTGCCGTCGCATTTCCAAGGAAGAATACCACAGGTACAAAGATGGCCGCCTCCCCATCTCCGAGTTTGCCCTGCTTGTGGCCGGGGAGACCAAGCCCTGCTCCTCACTCTCCATTGGGTCCATCATCTCCAAGTCCCCTCTCTGTTCCCCAGGCCCCCAGAGTGGCGGTCTCTTCTCCCCAGGCCTCTCTTTTGGGCTCACTGATGATTGCTTCCCCATTGCTGGGGTTTATGATACCACCACAGAAAGCAAGTGTAGCATCAAGGCGGCTGTGGCCAAGAACATGCTGGACCCCATCACTGGGCAGAAGCTGTTGGAGGCCCAGGCAGCCACAGGGGGCATCGTGGACCTTCTTAGCCGAGAGCGATACTCTGTGCACAAGGCGGTGGAGCGGGGACTCATTGAGAACACCTCCACGCAGCGGCTGCTCAATGCCCAGAAGGCCTTCACCGGCATTGAGGACCCGGTCACCAAGAAGAGGCTGTCAGTAGGTGAGGCCATCCAGAAGGGCTGGATGCCCCAGGAAAGTGTGCTTCCCCACCTGCTGGCACAGCACCTGACCGGGGGTCTCATTGACCCCAAGAGGACGGGACGCATCCCTGTCCCTCAGGCTGTGCTCTGCGGGATGATCAGTGAAGACCTGGGCCAGCTTCTGCAAGACGAACTGGGCTACGAGAAGGACTTGACTGACCCCATCACCAAGGAGCGGATGAGCTACAAGGAGGCCATGGGGCGTTGCCGCAAAGACCCACTAAGTGGCCTGCTGCTACTCCCGGCCATGCTGGAAGGATACCGCTGCTACCGTGCAGCCTCCCCCACCCTGCCACGCTCCTGCGTGCGTTAATGAGGGCTATGCAGAGGGGAGGGGAGGGTATGTGTACCCCCTTGCCCTGGAGCAGCGTAATCCCAGGCAGTGGGTCCTCCCTCTGTCCATCTGCCTCTTACTACTCAAACAGTTGTGGTGTTGGGCTCTGTCCCCAAACTCGGGGAGCTCCGTTGTCCCTCCAAACCCCCACCCCATGCTTCTAATAAATGAACTGTATTGACGCCGTGTCTAGCTCTCTCAGTATGTTTCGGGTGTGAAGTCAGGAGCAGCACTGCTTGGGAATTTTCCCCCAAAGTGTATGCTAGGTGGGGCAGATGTGTTCTGCTCACCTGCCCGAGGGATGGGTGGTCACAAAGTGTGACCCGGAAGACCCCTGGTCCCTCAGTCCCTGTCTCTCTCCAGCCCTCTGTCCACCTCCCCTTCAGTGGCAAGCTGTGTCCTCCATAAGCAGAATGACACCAGAGAACTCAAGAACAAGTTACATTTATTTCCCACTTGTCACAAAGAAGGACATCCACAGCCTCACTGATGATGTGACAACTACTTAGAACACCCTGACCAGAGTGTCGCCCTCCACCTCCTGCTCGAGTCCTCCCAACTGGACTCTTCCCACCAACAGCTTAAACAAAACTCAAGACCAGCAGAGGGCGCCCTGGATCTGCAGCTACAGCGGTGAAGGGGGGGGGGGGGCTGTTAACTAACCCGAAACCCGCTGCCCAATGCCAGGGAAGCTGTGCACTCCACCCCACCCCACCCCATGTACGGAGCACCTGCACAGCTTTTGAAAGTGCACCATTAAATCCAACAAACAACACACAATTCCCCAACCCGCAGGCAGGACGAACCAAAGCCCAGCTTTCTGATGACTGATGTAAAATTCCTCAGAGTTGTATTCTCTCCCTAGATATGCTTTATCTGCAGTGGGCGGGCAGTCGTCTGGAGAGGATGTGGGCTAGTGGGCCCCACAGAGTTGTTCCACGTTTTACAAGTGCTCCACCACGCAGCGGCGGGATGCTAGGGAGTGCTCGGTAGAGAAGTAGGGATGGGCCAGGGCCGTCTTGGCTGAGATCCGCTGGCTGGGGTCGTACTGCAGGAGGTGCTGAGGGAGAAGGGCAAGAGAATGAAGCTGGGTGCAACCAGGGTAGGGAGAGGAACTCCCTTCACAGGTTCCAGGGGGAGGCCGCGTCCCTGAGCAGGTGCCTAAGCCCAGAGCTTTGAGAAGCCACTGCCTCCTAGCTCTCTTTGTGTGTGTATGTGTGTGTGTGTGTGTGTGTGTGCAGGCGCGTGCACGCACGGGAGCACTCATGGGTGCCGCACCCATGGAGGCCCGAGGCATCAGGTCCCTTGGAACGAACTGGGGTTACAGTTGACTATGAGCCACTTGGTGTGGGTGCTGGGAACAGAACTGCAAGAACAGCCATCACTCTGGCCCCAAGACAGGTCTCTTTTCTGTCTGCCTGCACTGCATACACCAGGCTGGCTGGCCCGTGAATGCCAGGGATATGCTCCTGCCTCAGACCCCCTCCTGCCCTGGGTTATAGATTCCTGCTACTGTATCCAGCTCCAGGTGGCTTCTTAGATGCTCATGACTGTGCCTCAAGAGTTTTGCCCACTGAGCCATCCCCAACCCTGCCCCAGGCTTTGTGTGGGTGCTGGAGATCTGAAGTCGGGCTCTCATGTTTGCACGGCAAGCACTTTACCCGCTGAGTCACCTTCTAAGCCCATGTGCCTGTCCCAGCTTCTAAGCCAGCTCTGGACACTCCCAGAGCAGGTTAAACCATTAGTTTCGGTTCCAGGCCTATGATTCATCTGGGTCCCCTCCAGGTACCACCTGCTTTTGGCTGGGAACAGGTATGTTTCATGTTAGGCCGCAGTCCCTAAACCTGTCCAAAGAATGTACTCTTGGGCTGGTGTAGGACTGACAATGAGCAAGGTGAAGGAGGAGCTAACACAACCAAGAGGCCAGGTCTGTCCGGCTCTCTGCGCTCAGGTACATTACCCAGGCAGGATGCCAGGAAGTAGCCTATGAAGGAGAAGGGGCCTTAGCAGAAAGTGCAAGCCATCCTGCTGGCATTATGTTGGTAGACAACACATAGAACTCTGGTGACCTGACCATGGCCTCAACAGACCTGCTGGCACTTCCTTCCCTGGTCCAACACTAAGGTGTAGACAGAAATGGGGATTGCAGGCTTTATCTGAGGCCCTGTAGGCAGCCGAAGGGTCACTAGGTGGCACTAGGTGGCGGGAGCCCAGATGATAGGAACTTGTTCTGCACAGCTAGTCCTTGGTGAAGACCAACCTCTGGGAGACAGCGAGTGGGGGACACTGAGGCAGGAGGAGTTGTGGCCTCTGCCCAGAGAAGGGCTCCACCTAGAGGGGGCACAAAGCCCACAGGGAGAGACAGACACAAGACAACTAGGGAAAGGGGACAACAGCCACGACACAAAAACACAGCTAATTACTTCAAGTTTCAAAAGGGGAGATGAACACTGGATGTCAGCAGAGAGGCTCCTGACCAAATATATACCGGCACAAGCCCAGGGTGTACAAAGGTGAGAAGAGCCAGCCCAGACTCAGAGTTATGTAAGAGGGTGGCTGACAGAGGGCACTCTGGGGCAGCAACAGCTCCTGGGGTGCTGTCCTCGTCCACTTGTACCTACCAGGAGCAGGTCCTTGCCTTCTGGTCCCAGACTAGGCACGATCTCCTCCAGCCCCCTCCTGGTCCATCTGGGGAAGCTGTCCTGAAAATCGGGCAGCTGGGAGACTCCTGGCCATGTGGCTTCACTGGGTGTCCCCAGGGTACGAAAGATGCGAAAGAGCTGGTCGATCTCCGAGTCACCGGGAAACAGAGGTTTGCCAGTTACCTGGAGCAGGGGAGGAGAGGTTTGTTCTGTGTGACCTGGCTATTCGGAAAGACACAGCGAGGGATATCTTGCCCAAGCTGGGTGTGCTGGCACAAGCCTTTAATCCCAACACTCAGGAGGGAGGCAGAGGCAGGGGGATTTATGAGTTCAAGGCCAGCCTGGTCTACAGAGTGAGTTCCAGGACAGCCAGGGCTACACCGTGAAGTCTTTGTCTCAAACAAACAACAGATACTTTCCCTGGGGCTATGTTAAATTTCTAATCTTGCCTGGAACAAGACTTGCTTCCCCAGCCAGCCACAGTTACCCCTCAACCCACCTCTAATAGACATATTAGCCACAGTGCGGTCCTGGCTGCCCTGGTTCTGTGTAGTTCTGGCTGGCCCTAAACTCTAGAAATCTCTGTGCCCCAGGACACCCCTCCCCCTTCCTTGTTTTTTGTTTGTTTGTTTGTTTTTTATGATAGGCAGGTGCTCAACCACTGAGTGTCATTCTTAGCCCTTGGTGTTTTTTTGTTTTGTTTGTTTGTTTGTTTGTTTGTTTCAGACAGGGTTTCTCTGTGGCTTTGGAGGCTGTCCTGGAACTTGTTCTGTAGACCAGGCTGGACTCAAACTCACAGAGATCCACCTGCCTCTGCCTCCCGAGTGCTGGGATTAAAGGCGTGCGCCACCACTGCCCGGCTAGCCCTTATTTTTTAAGCTGGCCTTAACATCAAGAATATCTTGTCTTCCCAAGTGATAGATTGACAGTCATGTGTTACCATGCACAGCTCATATTTGTTGGTTTAATGCTTTTGTTTTACATTTATAGATTGTGTGTGTGTGAGTGTGTGTGTATGTATGTGTGTGTTTGTGTGTATGTCTGTGTATGTATATGTGTCTATGTGTATGTGTGTGTATGTATGTGTGAGTGTATGTATGTGTGTGTCTCTGTGTGTGTATATGTGTATGTGTGTGTATGTGTGTATGTGTGTGTGTGTGTATGTGTGTGTCTGTATGTATGTGTGTGTATGTATGTGTGTGTCTTTGTGTGTGTATATGTGTATATGTGTGTGTGTGTGTCTGTATGTATGTGTGTGTATGCGTGTGTGTG